ACTTGGAAACTCAGTGTTAACGTCGACAAATGCGAAACCATATTATTCAGGAAGCCGTTGTATCTAGCGAATCGAGATGTAAAACGTAATTATAAGACTTTTAGTATAAGTTCCTATGCTAATCTCGAGCGCAGAGTGATCCCTCATAAAAACATGGTTAAATATTTGGGTGTATGTATAGATGAAAGGCTTCATTACAAAACACATGTGTATATGCAACTTGGTAAAGCAACGCAAATGTTCATGAGCCTCAGAAGGCTCTTTTATTCCAGAAACTTGCATACGGAAGTCAAAGTAATATGCTACCAGTTGCTAATAAGATCGATTATAGCCTATGCTTGCTGCATATGGTTTAACGTCAGTGCATCTATTATGGAACGAATAAGGGTATTCGAAAGGAAATGTCTGAGAGCCTGCCTAAATCTGAACCGAACGGCGGAATCCGATTACACTAAATATGTGAGTAACCTGACTCTGTATAATACGGCCAAAATACCGAGAATTGATAATTTTATGATCACGCTTATGAGAGATCATTTTGCTCAAGCTTGTAGAATACATTCGAATAGTTTAGTTTATTGCGCCATATTCCCTAACGAAATGTACTATTCTAAGACTCTAGACATCGGATATATACCGCCAGAGGCGTCTACCTCGACAAACACGGTTTTATTCAGGACGCCAATGGCATCCCAATCATTTATCATTACCCTAGACACAATAAAGTAAAGCGTATCACCTACCCGATACACTCTGATAGCTCTGATACTTCCCTTCCATGGAAATATGATATGTCTGTGCCCGAGGCGACCTGCCTAAAATCAAAAAGGTACAAAGTCCGCTATTGGTGGAATAATCCAGAGACACAGTAAATTTATTATATTCCGACCTAACTGACTACCGCGTGAGGGGAACCTATCCCATCATTTTTCAAATTACTCGTGTCTGGTCACCGCTGGTTATTTATTTATTTTACTTTTTCCCTTCAATAGATACCGATCTAAGCAGTTTTTCGCCTGATGTCATTGACGTCGGGTATTTTTCTGTTTTCATACATTGTCCCCACATTTTTTTTTACTTTTCTACATTACCGAACACATCTTTATAGAATATCATAAAAACGGTACTTACCGTTCTTTTTTTTTTCTGATCTACCGGCGACGAGTGCCTTGAGCCGCTCGCTTATAAAATACTAGATTTAAGAATGCCCCCTTTGTTTATTTATGGAGCGTAAATATAAATATTGTACTTATCTTTATATTAAATAAACATATACATACATACATACATACCAGTTCTCGTCTGATCACTGAAGTCAAGCTACGTTGGGCACGGTTAATACTTGGATGGGTGACCGCTTGGGAACACCGTGTGACGTTAACATATTTTTTGCATTTTTCTCTTATAGTAAAAAAAATGAATAATTTAGATTGTTGTTATCCTGCATTAATCATCTAACCGACAATTCTTATACCATTTATTATTACGTAAAATGAAAAATGGTAAAAGAATTGTCGGTTAGATGATTAATGCAGGATAACAACAATTCGCTGTTGAGGAAGTGGGTGTCTAGATGTTGTCTACATGTTCGTCGTCGAGGAAGTCGATGTCTAGATGTTTGCCGTCGAGGAAATGAGTGTCTAGGTTGATCGCCGTCGAGAAAGTGCGTGTCTAGGTGTTCGCTATCGAGAAAGTGGTTGTCTAGGTGTTCGCCGTCGAGGAATTAGGTGTCTAGGTGTTGTCTATACATTTACACGACACCTTTAATCGGGTTTAATAACATCCGTCGTTATGAAATTAGCCAACCATAGCTGTTCCTCGGAAGAATGGAACAACTGTGATTGGCTAGTTTTACGACACCCTTCATCGGGTTTAATAACACAATGAAACCTAAGTATACGTATAAAATTCTATCAAGTTAAATTTTATATAGAAAGATTTAAATGCATTACAGTTAACGTAAAGCGATTATAATTACTTGTTAATTCCTTCTGTTCCTTCTGCACATTCGTACAAACTATCAGATAAGTTTGTTGATTTAGATCAGTGCTCGGCACTAGATGCACATTTCGGGCTGATTCCGGCGAGCGACCCCCACTACCACTCGAGTCTCAGCGGCCGAGCCGTCGACCGCTCACGTGACGCTCTGGCTCAGGAGCGTCCCTATATCTTAAACGTGCTAGGGTCGTATCTTCCGTCATTGAAGAAT